AAAAATGGATAAAATATAACTTATATATCTCCAGTGGTAAGTTTGTTATCTCAAGTCATTCGGTTATATGGCAATACCATTAGGCCGTATCCCTAAAATGTTACTGAAAACAATAATCAGAACTTATGTCAATATGTATATCGACATATACAAAGCACATATAAAACTTTGTGTGTTTTTCTTCTTCACTATCAAATATAAAATACCAGTACTTGAGTTGTTTTTTTATTCTTCAGAGTCTTGATTGATTGTCATGTCATGATTGCAGAATTTGTGCATGTTTTTTGCTTGTTTTCTTTTTCTGTGTCATATATGCTACGTATCATACTTTACAGATTTGCTCCACTAAAATATCATAAAATTTAGACTCATGGTGGAAATTTGTAATTTAGTTAAATAGCAGATACAATTGTACATGTACCTGTTTCAGACAGTGAGCTTTTGCCGTACATGTTCTTTTAGTTATAGTGCAAGCGCTTAATCGAATAACGCATGTTTCTATGCTGATCACAATAAGTCATATTTTAACCTTTTCACCACCATTTTCTCTTTTTTCGTCACAAAATAGTTCTGTTTACAGTCTGCACTTTCCTTCAGAAAATTTGGACAAAAAAAAACAATTTTTTTTATTAAAAACAGAAAAATGACTCAGTTGTGTCTGTTGGCTCCAAAAATTAAGGTTCATTTCCTGAAATATTGAGAAACATAAGAAAAAAGTATGGAAACATTTGAGTGGAAATTTGGTGATGAAAAGGTTAATGATCCAGTATACAATACATGCAGCTGTTTTGCGCTTCTAACAGAGAAAATACGGTATTGCGTTATACTGTTGTCTGTCAGCTGCTGTTGTATGAATTACGTTGTCAGAGGAACCATAGAGTCCTCAAGGTTTCTCACTTCACAGATCAACTAATCTATAAGGCTTCTTATTCTATTTTCTTCTCATCGCTTTTTTCTCTGAAACCACTTATCTAGGTTTTCTATAGTCATCTCTTTATTGACCCCCTGCTACGCAAGTATGGTCAGGTAGACTAAATAAATCTGATTCTACCAACCTTGCATGGTGTTGAAACTTCAATCCAAGTAGTAATAATCTAATTTATTAGATTTTTGTATCATCTGTGTTTCAGTTCACCAGACGTGTCTCCTCTTTACTTTGACTGGCTACTTACCAGCATTTCATTGATGAAGCTTAGTGTTCTTTAAACACATATTTCATTAAGTTGTGTTTTGAGTGATTATATTTCTGTTCATTTATCAATATAAACTTTTTACTTGCCCTGTGTGATTCACAATACTTAATTTCCTCATCTATGTAATTATACTAATACTGTTATTTTTACAATGATTCCAGGCTCAAGGTGGTGCAAGATCAACTCAACAAATCATTGAGGACTTGGCATCGGATATATTGTCTAAATTACCACCGGAATTCAACTTAGAAGAGATACAGGTACTGAAAAAGAAGCGTTATTTTTGTGTTCCTATGTGGCAATCACTATGATTATGGAAAGTCATTTATTTGTCTTCTATATACTGCCTCATAAAAAATAAGAAAGAAAAAAAAATGATTTATGAATATAAAAAAATACTCTTTATTAATGCTTTTTATTAACCACTATAAAACTAAAGATTTAATACTGTAATACCATTTATTTTCACTGACATTCAATTTCACTATTTCGATGTTTTGATCAATTTCACTGTGTTTTAATTCCACAAGTTTGTCAAGGAAACAATGAGTTTTATTGTTATTTTATATATTCATGTAGATTTAATTTAGCGGATTTTACTTGTCAGCGAAAATAGTGAAATTAAAACCCAGTGAATAATTAATGTATTTACAGTGTTTATATTCTTAGGTGATATAACTTGTGATTGATTCGTAGGTGAAGTATCCAGTGTTGTATGAAGAATCAATGAATACAGTACTTGTACAAGAATTGATCCGATTTAACCGACTAACGACAGTTATACATAGCAGTCTGTATGACGTGTTGAAAGCCATCAAAGGATTAGTAGTCATGTCGGCAGAACTAGAAGATGTCTTTGACAGTATGATGGTTGGAAAGGTACACCAGTATTCAGTTTATGAATCATTGCTATTGAATATTGTCTTGTTTGTTATTTTTATCAAATATGATATTGCCATTAACTCTGATCAAATATTGTTCGATTACCGATTACACTGTTCCAGATGTGGAGTTACTACCAAATATGGTCATCTGTTGCCATTATCAAACATAGGCATATTGATACTACATGTATTATTATTACCAAATATGGTCATCTGTTTATGAATAATAGCATTGCTATTACCAAATATGGGCATGATTATACCATTATTATTACCAAATATGGCCTTGCTACTCATAAAATATGAAGTTGCAATAACCAAATATGGACATAAAATGTTATTAAATACATTGTATAAATAAATGTATGAACAATTAACTGCGATAAATGGACCATGCTTCATCATATTACCAATACAATTACCGGTACTATGCTTCTTTTTTTTTAACAGGTACCAGCGCTGTGGGCAGCTAAATCTTACCCTTCACTGAAACCATTGGGTAGTTATGTACATGATTTAATACTACGACTACAGTTCCTCAGGGTAAGAACTATCAGAATTGCTGTAAATCAAGAAATTGACCAGATACAATATGTGAACAACATATCTCTAAGACTGTTGATATGTTTATTTGCGTTATTAACACCTCGTCTAGCATTCATTTTGGATATCTGTGGTGGATTTCAGCAGGCCATGAAATGTTAAGGGTATTGTAATCAGTAAAAGTAAAATCCACTAGAAATTTGTAAATAGTTTTGCATGAATGTAAGCTGTCTAAACATGTTTGCCATTTGGTCATTTTAAGAGCTCACAATGACTAAAATTTGAGAAAGTCATGTGTCTTTTTGAAAAATAATCCTTGGTACAATATTTTTCTGATTTTTGCTGAATAACAAGGTTCACAAAAAATCGACAAAATCAAACTAGTTTGCAGCAATTCTAATAACTATCAGTAAAATTAATTTACATGTGCCCCAATTTGTGATTTTCAGTGACAATAAATTCAACATAAAGTGAACAGCAGTGATATGGTATGGTTATTAATTAATATGCCATGTGTTTTCTATGACTAGTTTTTATAACATGTATGCTTTTCATTGATTCCTATAGGATTGGATAACGCATGGCATGCCCAACGTGTTTTGGCTATCAGGATTTTACTTTACTCAGTCTTTCTTAACCGGCTCTTTACAAAACTATGCTAGAAGATACAAGATACCCATTGACCATCTAGGATTTGAATTTGAAGTATTGGATCAGGAAACCAAAATGAGTCAAAAACCGGTAAGTTTCATGTTTACTATAGGTTTGACTCTGACTGGTAATCTTGGTCCTTGTCATGTGACATTGAGTGATCTATGTCTAATATTCAAGTATAGAATGTACCTGCATCTGTTTGCCCATTTTGTATTTTGGCCTCTATTTTCTTTAAATTTATTGCAATTAAGGCCAGACTTTTTTTATTCTTTGTTACTCGAGTTTTTATAAGGCAATTTTTTTGAGGAGGGCGAAAAAAAAAAAAATTAATTTTTTCCCATTAGATTTGTGTGATTCTCAAAGAATTGTAAGTGAGATCATTGATCGAAGAGAAGAAATGAAATAAAATTTTATTCCATGTATAACCTTGTTTCTCATCTGCGCGTGACTTCGATCATGATACTCCCACGAAAATGCAATTTGGATATGGTATGTGGCGGGCGGTAAAAAATTGAAGATAAGAATAATATTTTTTTAGCAATTTTTTTTACGCTTACAAGTCAGCGGGCGCGAGAAATTACGCTGAAATAAAATTTTATTTTTATTTCATTTTTGGCTTCTGTTCATTCGGCGGTTCGTGAAACTAGGGATAATAAAAGTCTGGCCTAATTGCCAAAAATGGAGCACTAAATAGCTGCTGTAATAATTCTATTCACAAATGAATATCATCAAAGTCAAAGAAAAAAATTATTTGACCGAATCTTTCAAAAAAACTACTATTTACATATATGTAGTCTGTGTTGTTTAGGCCACATTTGCCTTGAATGACAATTGTTACTACTTGGGTGTATACATACCTTGTTAATATAATATTAAACTGTATTTATTTGTTTATTACAGAAAGATGGTGTGTATGTAAGAGGTTTATTTATAGAGGGAGCGAGGTGGTCCCGAGACAGAAAAGTGATTGGTGAATCACGTCCTAAGATACTCTTTGACACCGTTCCGATTGTATCCTTTGAATATTAGTAATATTAATTCTAGTCTTTAGTCAGAACATTTATAATGAGCTCTGTCCCTCAGATTAACTGACATAGTTTACAACAAATTATATCATTACAAGCTCTGAAGACTTAGTCCTGTAATTATAATGAAGTTATTTCTGGTTCTGTGTGTTGTGAATGAATTTATCCACCAACTGACGAGGAAACAAAACGAAACTGTTCCCATGACAACAAAAACATGTAAATTATAATCTAATACTACTAGAGACATTCATGTTATAAAATCTGTTATCCTGTAAACTTAAATTTTTACAGAAAGAGAAGTTTGTCACCGACAATAGTCGTAGAACCCCAGAAAGATTTATAAGCTCTATAAATAATTGTGATTTTGACTGATTTGTAAAAATAATTGTGATTTTGACTGATTTGTAAAAATAATTGTGATTTTGACTGATTTGTAAAAATTAGTCCCTCATGAAATTAAACCAGTTCATGGGTAACTTCCTTCACTGAGTAAAATAGATCTGGTTCAAACCTGGAGATAAAGCTAACTTTGTACCACAACCAACATATGCATGTCCAGGTGAGTTAAACAGTTGTACATTTAACTTTCTTTTTGTTTAAGGTTTATCTAGCCTAGTAGTTCAGACCTTAGTACCGATAGTTAGACAATAGAACCAATGGCAGTTTAAATAGTTTTCATGGCGATCAAGATCTCACTAACAATGGAACGCTGTACAGAACATTAAAGGGTGGCAGTCGTCGCGCCATGTCCTCTTCGATATGGGACTCATAGCGACATATACAATGCGTGTGAAATACATTGTTTATTTACATGAAATTCAAACACACGCTGCGCAACGATGAGGACAACTGCATTGCCTGGCTGTGATTTTCAGTGTTTTGCTCTTGAGAAATTATTTCAACACCAGAACGTTATTTTAGTTTACTCATATGTTTGTCGAAATTAAGTGTTTTCATGAATAATTTAAATAATCACATGACATATCGCTTAGTGATTTCATTTTCTTGCAGTATACAAATCAAGTTCAAGACGAGGTGTCTTGTCCACCACTGGTCATTCTACAAATTTTGTACTGGACATCCTGTTACCATCAGACAAGCCAGAAAGTCACTGGAGAAACAGAGGAGTCGCCATGTTATGCCAGCTGGATGATTAAATATCCACCTTGTTCCCTGATTGGCATTACCCAGCATACAGCATAAGATCCTCTACAATGAAGCCACCCAGCTTATTACCTCATACCCGAGTACACAATCACCATTTACCATGTTCAATTTTCATTCAGCATTCATACCAGGCAAGAATACACAGTATCACCTTATGTAATGCAATCCTAATGTATTGCTGGTCAATACAGATTCATACTCTGTATTACAATCCAACTTCAAAAAACACTAATTACTCTTTAGGTTTAAAATTATCAGATTTTTAAGTGAGAGGATAAGTTTTGGATTTTACTATCTGAATCACAGAAAATGGTGAAATTAAAATCTAGTGAATAATGATATAATATCATCCAACCAAACACACATCATTATAATATTGATGAAGGTGGCTATTTATGTGCAGTCATGGTGTGTACTTGGTTGCATGGCTGTAGTTTTAGTATATTATTATTTTGCAGTGCAATCATTAAAGCAATAAAGTATATACATATTATTCTTTACTATCTTATTCCTTACTATGAGTTATGTAAGGCTTTACGGAAGCTCTATTTTAATTTTATTTGCACTCAATTTAAATTTCACCAGGACCAGGAATTCAATTTGATTTTCACCAACCACCAGGAACTAAATTTGACTTTGACTTCTTATCAGGAATTCAATTTGACTTTCACCAATCACTGGAATTCAATTTGATTTTCACCAATCACCAGCAACTAAATTTGATTTTCACCAATCACTGGAATTCAATTTGACTTTCACCAATCACTGGAATTCAATTTGACTTTCACCAATCACTGGAATTCAATTTGATTTTCACCAATCACCAGCAACTAAATTTGATTTTCACCAATCACTGGAATTCAATTTGACTTTCACCAATCACTGGAATTCAATTTGACTTTCACCAATCACTGGAATTCAATTTGATTTTCACCAATCACCAGGAACTAAATTTGACTTTCACTTATCATCATGAATTCAATTTGACTTTAACTTATCATCATGAATTCAATTTGACTCTCACCAATCACTGGAATTCAATTTGACTTTCACCAATCACCAGCAACTAAATTTGATTTTCACCAATCACTGGAATTCAATTTGATTTTAACCATTCACCAGCAACTAAATTTGATTTTCACCAATCACCAGGAAGAAATTCAAATTCATTAAGAACCAGATCACCATCATCATAAACTACCCGTATTTTCAAATCGAATGAAATTCAATTTTGTCACCAGCATTTTAACTGTTTTGCCTATTCACCACTGGCCTGTAAACATTTCCATCACACCGCATATTGAAGATATCAAGTTAAAATATCAGTAAATGCATTTCACATTGTATTGCTTATATCAACACACACAAATTAACTGCACTGTTTCCACACACAGGTAAATAAGGTTGCTTCATTCAAGGTGGCATTGTCATGTGTTCAAAAATATACTCTGATTTGAAGTGCTGCACAATGTAACCTGACAAAACTTGTATGCCCACAGCTCAATGTTATGTACAAAAATGTGTATATATAAATATTTACAGCATTATGTCTTTATACTGTACAATCCCTAGGTAATTTAAACAGAGTATTGTCATTGAATTTCAGTCGTGCAAATCAAAGCTTCCAAACTATAAAAAATACTGAGTATAAGAATATTATTAAAGATACTCCGTCCTTCCGATACTTGTACTTCGTCATCTTGATAATCTTTTTATTCATCAATTATATTTTATAAATTTTTAAATTATTACCAATTTAATTGCTGACCAGAGTTCTGAATGCACTATATCTACAACATACATGCTCTCTGTGAAATCACACATTCATGATCAGTGTTAGTTTGTCCAGGTTTGTCCACATTAATTCTTTCGATAATTTTGTTTACCGCTACAACTATCTTATACACAAGACACATGCCATGCTCACTCTATGGAGAGAACATTGGAGTAAAACGTTGTTTTTTTTGTACATAATCAAGCATTCAAATTCCTCTGTTTGGATAATATAGACATGTGATCCCATGCATAGGTCGCCTTCACCACAGTCTCTCCACAGTGCCTACACCCAGTTAGTGAGGTCATTGCATGTACCTGCTTATCTGCGCTTTAAAGAACACTTTAACTACGGGACTCTGGTTGGTTATAATGTCTTTTTTTATAATTTGTTGATTGATTTGCATTTTATTTTAACTGATCATGATATTGACTGTTTATTTTTTGTATATTTGCTGAGTAAGCCCTGTGCGATATTTTTATCTGCACTTCCATTGAGTTGTCTATACCATATTGTAAATTGAGAGAATTGTATTATAATAAACTGTTTATATATGTTATTTTGTGAATAAAATGAATTGTATATCCAAATTAAGTCTCTGAAATTCGTCTGAAATGGGAACTAAAAGTAGCAGCCAATTGGCTTCAATAATTCTGAGATCTACACCTACATCATCATGGTCTGTTTTTAGTTAAGAAAAGTTTTGTTCTAGAAAATTGGAAATTGGCTTGCGTGATTGCGGTACGGCTTCGAACTGATCCCATAGTTTCTCTGACCTCAGACAACTAATATTCATTAGTTGTCTGAGGTCTGACTCATTGTAACATACCTTATTGTCGCACATCTTATTTTCACGAAAGGTCATTTTGGGCAGAATAAAATTTCATGTGAACATCTAATTAAATATCATGAATAATAATGAGTTTCCAGAAAGTGTCATGGACAATAGATACACAATCTTTGCATATAATCAAACTACGAAGAAATAAATATTAAAACGCTCCCATGACACTTTGACACTCACCTGTGATACATCTGTTCATGACACTTAAAATTTAACCAATGATGTTCAAATTGCTTAGTTTACACGTATCAGGCTTGTATATAGCCTGATATGTCGGCGTGAGTGACGGCCTCGCCGGCCGAACACCTTCAGACGTGTGTTGGGTTTGGAGTACCGCGGAGGGCGCAACTCACGCGACCATGTCAGGCTAGCTTGTCGAGTCCGATACGTCGATCGAATGGTAATCCGCTTTTCTTAAGCCCCTTTCACAATTGGCGCCTCGTGCGATAATTTTTTTTTTTTTTCGAAAATATTTTTTCCCGTCCTGTTGTAGAAGTGTTGTCTTTGAGTCGCAAGCAATATATAAAATCGTAAGGCCATCAATATGACATGTCTGTCTTGAACGTTTTGGATTTGCCTTCTCAGACTTAGCAAATGCAAGAGCCTCCCAGGAGCTATTGGTCGAGCAGCAGCCATGTTTACAGTATGGATGGTCCAGACATTTGGGATGAAAGCTCAGGAGTTCTCGAGCTTATATTGGGGGTGAAACAAAATTCGTACAACGTTGCAAAGGGGGCAAGACAGGTCTTCCAATAGTCTTAGGGTGGTACAACGGACTCGTACGACAGGACGCATCATCGTACGACATGAAAATACTCGTGCAACACTCGTTCGGGGTCTTACGAGTGCGTGCAAAGTCGCACAACACTCGTACTGCCTGTCGTGCAATTATTTTTCATCGCGTCAGTCG